TTTCAACATCCAACTCTGAAATTCCAATTCAAAAGAATAGGGTCTTAGTTTATACTCCATCTATCCTAGTATTTATGTCTAGTTGGATAAACTTTGAGTTTCAATTAAATAAAAACCATAATATATATTTGTATAAAAGTAATTTTATACGATTTATCGTGTTGAGAACTTTTATAATTTCATTTCATTATACTAATATGCAATATATATTGAGAGTAATTGAAGCTCAAAGTTGTCCAATTTGACTCAAAAAAATTAAAGCAGACAAACACATTAGAACGGATGTAGTATTTCACAAACTAATGAAAATGTATTGTAACAAAATAGTGTTTCAAATGCTTCTTAATATTTTAAAATCCATCCACAAAAATTAAAACGAGAATAATGTCACAAAGATTAAAATTTGACCCAAATTTTTAGAACAAACTTTTTACTTAATGAAAAAATATTAGAAAAAATTGTTATGTTTATAATATATTTGTACACATGTTTGGTTTAGGATTCTAGATATGGAAAGTTACCTTGTAATGTTCCCAATTCAAATACCGGTCTGATCATTTGGTTTGGTACGGTTCATTTTTTTGCGGTATTTTTTCGATTCATTTTTTTCTATTTGGTTTTTTCGGAATCGATTCGGTACTTGCTCGTTCCTAGTTTAGTGGTCGATATGATTTGTTAATGGTGTGAGTACTGCGTAGTAGTCTGTCTATTTGTCGATATTGTTATTAAACATCACGGGATTTCAAAGATGATAATGTCCCATCGTGACCTGATCTTCATGAGCAAGTTTTGGATGACTTTATTCTCATTAAGCGCTACCACTTTGAAACGAAGCACCACCTACCACCCTCAGACTGACGGGCAATTGGAAGTGCGTAAGCGTGGGTTAGAGCAGTACTTGCGTGCATTTTGTCACAAAAGACCAGCGAAATGGTCTACTCTTTTCCCATGGGCAGAACTAGATCTGAACACAACTTTTCATGAGTGTATCAAAATGTCTCTTTTTTAAGCATTATATGGATGGGAGCCACCACCTTTGTTACACTACACTTCAGTGAAAAGTAATAACATTACTGATGGAGATGACGGCTCTCATCAAAAGCTTGAACAAGAATATACTATGCATGCAACAACGAATGTGCAGGCAAGCTAATAAACACCAGAGGGATATTTCATTTGCGGTGGGCAATCAGGTGTTACTCAAGTTACAACCCCATCGTCAATTTTTTGTAGCTCGACCATTGGCAGCGGAACTGGGGAGCAAATTTTACGGGCCGTTTGAAGTCCTTGAGTGTATCAGAGAGGTAGCCTACAGATTAAAATTACCAGAAGGGGCCAAAATCCATGATGTTTTCCATGAGTCGGTCCTTTGTTCGTTAGTCTGATCGGATGGGAATGTGGCCGACGCTTCATGGAAACCAACGTCTCACTTGGGATGTGTATACCCGACCTTGATCCTTGAGGACAAGGACGCTTTTGAAGGGAAGGGAAGTGATACGGACTATGGTACGAACTATGTCAACGATGTTGGAGCGAAGCCACATGAGGGGACGAAAAACGCGACCATGTTACGCCGCTCCGGGCGCGTGGTCAGAGTTCCAAATCGGCTTAAAGATTATTTTTGACTTATTTTATCACTTATTTTTATTGATTATTGTATTTTAGATTTTTATTAGGTGAGCGGTTTATAAGCTCTTTTGAGTATTTATTTTTAGTTCTTTACTTCGATCCTTTTCTTGAATCGACATGGCTAGGGTTTCTTATTATAAATACAGATTTTATTATTCAAAATCGATAACAAGAAGATAGTTAGTTCTCTTATAAAGCCTAAAACCTTCTTTTCATCCTCTGCATGCCTCTCTCCTTCTTCGCCCCCCTCGTCGTTCTTCTCTCTTGGGTGCTTCCCGTAACAACTGGGGAGATGATTGACTAATTTTACGGAGAGGAAAACAAGACAAATAAGGAGAGATGAGATGTAGAAGGTGAAAGTTCCAAAGTGACCATATGATACATGGGACGGGCTCTACAGATCTAGCAAGATCCTATGACTATGAAGTATTCTCTCTTCTTTTATAAGATGTCATTCTCACCTGATCTCAACTCTTATTCCGTAATTGTCATATATAATTTGTATACTCATTTTTAAGAAACTCTGTACCCTAAAAGTAAGTAAACAAAGTGAGTTAAGTTTGACTATGTAAATAGTGTATGGAGAGATCTATGGCAGATGTAGAAATATAATTAGAACTAAACTTGAATGAATTGATTACACATAGATCCGCTATTTATAATAGCTACAAGACCATGACCTAATTACGAGCCCAACAACAATGAGCTCGTTAACGACAAACTCTACTACATTCCTTAACACTCCCCTGAAGTTGAGCATGAGGTTAACGAATGCACAACTTGGACAATTAAAAAAACTAGAACTAAATTTTTTTTGATAAACAACTTGAACTTGATCTGCTGTGACAACAACGAACGAAGGTGACTAGCCCTGCAAACGAACAATAATATTTGATGACGAATGACTCCCACGCGGTGACACGGGGACAACTAACAAGCATCCCAAACTTAGAGGCCGTGTTTCCAGACTGAGGCGCGACTATGCGATCAACCTCACAAACAGATATGTCGAACTGAGGCGCGACTATGAGACCAACCTCACAAACAAACATGCCGAACATACAACTGGTTGCACTTGAACATACCAAATAGCAACCAAAAAACAATGTCGCCAAAAACGTCATCAAATTTCAATGAACGGCAGAGTGAACATAAAAACCTTCTTCTCCTGATGAACGAAGCAAAACAAAACCAACCTACGAAGCATTATCCAAACCATTGTCCAAAGTGATGAACACCAAAATCATTAATAACCAATGTTAAGATTGGATGAACAAAAACAAAATCTCTTGTGATGAATGGAATCGGCTGAAGAAATCACAAGAACAAATCATCAAATTAAATATTTTGAGGCGGTGAGTGGACTCCTGAGAGCAGATCTGGACTTCGAGCAAACTCGACGGTGACGCCGAACCAAGAACACAGACACGGTTAGATCCGAAATTTAAACCAGCGTTCCGTCCAGCAGATCCGTCCGTCTAGCATCGCTAGCGCGTCTCTGCATCGCCGAAAGTTCCCTCCTTCGCCCGGCAGATCCGTCAGCCTCATCCTGCAATCCTATTCTTTGGCATCAAATATGGATCCCTAGTTACTGTTGCTAATTTTTGGGTAAAACGATGGCAATGCCGCCGTCACCGGACAAACCACCAGTGACGGCAACAACGGAAGCAACAAATTAGAACAAACTAGGGTTTAGGTTCCCAGGTTGGCTCCGATACCATGTAGAAATATAATTAGAACTAAACTTGAATGAATTGATTACACATAGATCCGCTATTTATAATAGCTACAAGACCATTACCTAATTACGAGCCCAACAACAATGAGTCTTTAACGACAAACCCTACTACATTCCTTAACAGCAGATAGAAGAAGTATAATAGCCATTATTAAAGATTAAATACCAATCATATCATCAAATTTTTATATAGCCTATCTGATTGTGCAAGGATGGAATGAAATTTTTTTAAAGGCATGTATAAAATGAATTAAAGATATAACCTGGAATGATACACCTCATCTACGCAGGACTTCATCATCAATAGACGCAACCTGTGTTCTCTTTGTTTTTGTTCCCCGTTGCGCGTGGGTCAATCACAATCCCATCACCACTCCATTCATTTGTGTTCATGGTCCACTGCTCCTTTGTCGATCCACAACTGGCGGTACCAAGAGATAGTATAGTCGGTTGTACATTTTGTGGTGTAAAAGGTTGTCTATTAATAGGAAAAAGGCTAGGTGCATTTTAGACTTTGTATTCCAAAAAAGAATGAGTCTCATCCTCGAGGGTCTTTCAGATCTGTCCTAACGATCACAAAGGAAAGATAAATTGGATTTTAATTACAAAATGGGGAAAAAATAGAGCTGGTCCGATGCTTTAAAACTTTCTAATGAGACAAGATTAATTATTTTTTGAGCAATGCTAGATTAAAAATAGAATAGTTATAAATTTTACAAATTTACTATTTATAGTGTAAATTCTCATTTTAAAATTATCTTAGATTACTTATTGTTTATTAAAGTTTATAGAAAGACAAGGTTGGATAGGATTTCCGAACGAAGTTATCCGACGTCAGGTAGGCATGACGCCGGTGGAAGATAAATTGCGGGAAGCGAGGTTGAGATGGTTTGGTCATGTGAGACGGCGGGATGCTGACGCCCCTGTACAGAGATGCGAGAGGATTACAGTTATCTGGGGAAGTAGGGGAAGGGGTAGACTTAGTAAGAATTCGGAAGGAGGTGATTAGGCAGGATTTACGACTTCTCACCCTGACTGAGGATATGACTTTAGATAGGAAACTTTGGAGAACTAGAATTAGAGTAGTTGGATAAGAGCTCGGTGCTGCAGAGGTTTTTTTGTAGTGTGTTGTGTTTGATTGGAATCTTTTACTATTGCTTGCAGAACTTTCATTTCATTGTACTTAGTGCTTTATTCGTGTTATACTGTGTTCCATATCATATTTTTAGTACAGGTTGAGCCGGGGGTCTCTTGGAAACCGCCTCCCTACTTTCGAGTAGGGGTAAGATCTGCGTACACACACCTTTTTAGACCCTAATGTAGTGGAATCCAACTGAGTTGTTATTGTTGTATTAAAGTTTATAAAAAATTTGTAAGGTTTGTGATGATTGTATCAAGTTATTCTTAATGAACACTCAATAAGTGTTGGGGTCCACCACTGTGAGAACGAGATAAACCTGGGTCTGCAATAACCGGTAAAACCTCAGAAGCTTCACGACCTCATCAGGGCCCACCACTGGCCAAAAACCGCCGACCGCTGCCACCCCGCTCTGCCTACGTGACCGAATTTCCCCAAACACCCCCCTATACTTTACATATTCTCGCATTAGTCCTTTATATTTATTTCTTTCAACTCTCAGTCTCCATCAATGGCAGAGAATATATACGGAGCTAATTAAAAAGCAGAAAATGACGTTCATCAATGGCGTCTCCATAGATCAATAATCTGCAACTCATCTTCAATCTGTATATAGATATGAACATATATTGCTTATGTTATGTATGATGACTGATGTGAGGGTTGCGTGAGAGTGAGACTCACGCCATTGAAGCACTTTGGATTCGAATTCCGCGAAATATGTCTCAGGCTAACGAGTCGAGTACGGCGTGGGGAGAGGGTTTCTCCGGTGAAGCTGGCGATGCCGGAGGGCGGTACAAACCGATTTACTCGCCCGCGGCCGGGATGGGCGGGGGAGGTGTAAGGGAAACGGCGGTGCCTAGGAAAACTGGCGGGGAGCATTTGAGATTCCACGCGGTGGAGTTCGCCAAGGGTTTCGCCGAAATGAGTGTGGAGTTCGGGAAGGGGGTGAAGGATGTGGTGATGCAGACGGTGGTGTCTGAGGACTCCATGATTGGGAAGAAGCTGAGAGGGCCGTGCCAGAAAATTTCCAGGAAATTGAGATTTCTGAACGAATATTTGCCAGAGGATCGGGATCCAGTTCATTCATGGAGTGTGATTTTCTTCGTCGCAATAATTGCTTCTGCAGGTATCTCTCAAATTTAAAGTCCTCTTAACTGTTTATTTAACTACACTTTCTTGTATCAGTGATATTTCCTCAAATATGCCGATCATTAATTACTTCATTGACACAATCCATTTCTTCAGCTAGTTTATATAGTCTAGCTTCATTGATTGCATATGATGGTCCATTTATTCCTTGAGAAGTACATAAACTTTTCTTCTGGTTTATAGATTTCTGACAATCTTGAATTGGGTGCATTGGATTGCTTTTGGTTGATAAATGATAATGCTATAAATTACAATTGAATCTAACTTTTCTCTACCCTAATCACCAATTTAACTTTAGTTTAGTTGTGTCACCAATTTAGTAGAACTTGTAGAATGTATGCTCGATTTCAGATTGCATAGAGAACTTGACACCCTGCTGTATTATATTCAAACTACGACCTAATGCCCAATGGTAAGCACTACTATTTGGCTGGTTGGTGGATCAACTTAAATTTATATTTAACACATTTATTTTATTTTACACCATTTCCTTCATTATTATTATTACTCCGTATTTAACATTATTTTACAAAACATTTCTAGATGGTTCACTCCATTCATCTATTTCATCCATTCTAGTTACAATCTCAGCATTTTTGACTCATTTTTTTTCATTTCTGCCAAATTTTGCCATAACCAAACGAGCTGTTATTAAAGTTTTATGGGAAACTTGGTTGTTGAAGAAATAAGATGGGATTGTTTAGATTAAATAAATGTGAGCCTGTACTAATGGAGTAGTAGGTATGTATATGGGAAACATTGAAGTTTGTTGTTCATTGAGTTAGATTTCTCCTCTCACCATATTTGTGAGTATATCTATCTAGCTACTTGCGACTTGTAAGATGTACTTGAATCATGCATAATTGCATACACACAAAACAAGATTATCTTTTCAATAGCTTTCATGGACACGGTTAAAGTAATAGCTTTCATCTTTAAAGAGTGAAATTTTTCAAAAGAAGTTGCCGCATTAGCATGTATTAAAAACCTTCGCTCTGAAGCAACAACCTTTGGTCTGAAGCAGAATGCATAATAAGTACTCCGGTAATAATACACTACCTTCGAGATGTTTCCTGAATTGCAATTATTGAAAAAATAATTTTCTTGTTCTTGAACATCAACAAATTCATTAAAGTCTGAAACACCTTTAATGCATAATTAATTTTTTGTACATGTATATGGTTACCAGCATTGATGGTAAGTGATGATGCGGATACTAGATCCACTTCGGTAAAGAAAGTAAATAAACATCCTCTTGGTGCAAGTCGAATTTTACTTCCAGATGGTAGACATTTAGCATATCGGGAACAAGGCGTTCCGCCCAATCAAGCCAGATTTTCTTTGGTCTCTGCACATTCTTTTCTTTCATCCAGGCTTGCAGGTATCAAATATACTTTTTAATATCTCTACTGCTTCAGTTATTCATGCATTTATTGAACATGTTATACTGATAAGATAAGGGTTAATCGTGTTTCCTTCCCAAAAAGGAATACCTGGCATCAAGGTTTCACTGCTGCACGAATTTGGTGTTCGCTTGGTGACATATGACCTTCCTGGATTCGGAGAAAGTGATCCTCATCCCAACAGGAACCTCGAGTCATCAGCAATGGATATGCTACACTTATCATATGCTGTGAATATTACTGACAAATTCTGGGTGGTGGGATTCTCTAGTGGAAGTATGCATGCCTGGGCTGCACTTCGATATATTCCTGATAGGGTTGCTGGTATGTAATTAGAGCATGTTTGGAATAACTCAGGGTATATAAGTGCTTTAAGTGTTTTTTAAGGCACAACTTTCTTAAATCAACATTGAAATGCTTTTTTACTACAGCTATAACGGTGTATTTTCTATTTTCTTCTCAAACTATTCTTTTAGTAGTAAAAGGACTCTTGAAAGGCGCTTATTCCTCAAATATAAGTCTCCCAAGTGCACTATTCATCTTCACTTTTGCACTGTGTTCAATATGAAAACCCTATAGCTGCTTCATACATCAAAATGGAACCACCAATGCAGACACGGAAAATGAAAGCCATAGTGTCGATGTGATTTCCAATGAGTTTGCTCTTTTCAACTTATTCTCAATCCAGTTTAGCACTTTTCAGTTAAAACTACAACTAACTTTTGGTTAAGTTCATTTTAACTTACTAAATTTCAGTAAAAAACATAGACTCCCTGTTAAGATCATAAACATTGAAGACACTGGTAAATAGCAAACATTACTGGGGTCTCTTTCTTCCTAAAGAGAGTGGATAACTATGCACAAATGAAACCGCTAATGGGACTGGTGGCTTGCTTGAGTTATGTTGCCACTCAAAATATGTTACTTTCATTCTGTTGCACAAGGAAATGAATGTGCGGAATAACTCCTGATTTTTCCTTTGTTTGGTCTCTTTGCTGATTGAGTTTGCAGGTGCATTCATGGTTGCTCCAATGATCAATCCGTATGAACCAAGCATGACGAAGCTGGAGGTACAAAACATGTGGAAGAAATGGACGAAGTGGAAGAAGTTTATGTATATGCTAGCTCACAGGTTCCCCAGTCTACTTCCTTTGTTCTATCGTAGAACCTTTTTGTCTGGATTTCATGGTCCCATAGACGAACGGCTCTCGTTGTCACTTGGAACAAGGGTAAGCTGATACTTTATGGATATGCTATACTATCGCTACATGTGATGTATTATCATTTACTTCTTTAGATTATTACATCTGGGCTCCTTTCAATTGGTGGAAAATATTTTCTTGGGCGGTGATCTCTGAATTTTCCTGAGCATGAAAATTTTTCTGGAAGTTTCATCTACATTAGGTTTGTTGTTGTCCTTATTGTTATAGTTTAAAACTAATACTCTTATATTATACTCCTTCCATCTCAATATTAAGTTCGGGCTTTGACTTTCACAGAGTTTAAAGAAGGGTTGGAAAATGAAAAATGTGATTAAAATTTATGCAGAGGAAAGAGAGGTCATATAAACCACAAAATTATTTCAGGAAATGAGAACTTTATTAATAGATGTTCCAAAAGGGAAAGTTGGAAATTAATTTAGAGGAGAACATAAGAATTTTTAGGGAAAAAATCTGGAGCCTTGATGTGAAGATAATAGAAACTTGAACAAGATATAAAGGGTGACTAATATATGATGCTGTTTTTTATACTTGTGATTTGCAAACACATCTAATTCTAGCATAATTATTCCTGCCACATTTATTGCTCACTATGATGAATTCTGTAGGATAGAGCTTTGACAGAGAGCCCATTGTTTGAAACATTCTGGCAACGAGATGTTGAAGAATCCATCCGACAGAAGAATGTAAGACCCCTTGTTGAGGAAGCTGTTTTACTGGTTTCAGACTGGGGCTTCAGACTTGTGGATCTCAAAGTAAAGAGGAAGAAGCTGGGGAAAGGCATACTTAAGTGGATTAAATCTTTGTATGGTCAAACTGAAGGAAGTTTGAGTGGATTTGTTGGCCCAATACATATATGGCAGGTGAATTTACTCTGAACCTATCTTTAAAAACATATCATCAAATAATAGCCTTTGTTGTGTTACCCTTATAGTTTAAACAATTACTGCATCCCCTCTATATGCTATTTGGTTTAGAGTTTTACTCAGCTCAGCCTTGCATGTGAACACTTTGATGTTAATCCAAATTAAGAGTATGGGTTTTCTTCAACTCTGGTGTGCAAGCAAAACACGTGCCAGCTGTTTATACCTGAACTTGATGCAATAGTTGGCTAGCCAGCTAGTGTAGTAGACATTCTATATTTGGATAGTGAAACCTAAATGATGGATTTAGGCAATGTTTGGTTGTGGATTTGACTAACTTTGGTGGTTTGACTTGGCTAACCTGCTAAATGTTTATTAGGTAGGTGATGAATTTGCTTAGAGTTGGCAGAAATTTAAAAGCAGTGTCATATTATTTAGAAATATAAATAATAAACATAATAGCTAATAGTGAGTAATAATAGTAAGCATAGTAATAACAGCAAACGACTGTGACTATAATTACTACTATTACAAAAACAACCCCAAAACAACAATAATAATATGTAGTAGTCAATTTCAAACTTAAATACTTGCAGAACAAAAGTGTACATGATAATACAATTTAAAAAACAAACTAGCTCTTTAACCAATGTGCAGTCTGATAATATGCACTAGTTCATTTTACATGTCTCGCCTATGTGCAGTCTGATAATACAATCCACTATCCCCTGATTGCCAAACATTTTCAGTAGCTCTTTATTATACTTAGACTGACATTCAAAAATTTGCTGATGCTTGGTGCACATTCATAATAAATGGGTCTTCTCCTCTTGATAAATTTCATTTACAATAGCAATATTCCTTCGCTCTGCTCATGTGATGTGTATTCACACTAGTTAGAATGTTAGATATGTTGTAACAAATGCTAATTAGGAAAGCGGCATGCTAGAGTATAGCACCTGAGCTAGACTAGTGAAGAGCTGAATGGAGTTATGCGTGCCGAATCCGGAAATTAGTCAAATAACACAGGTTTTGAAAGGCTTAGCATAATGACTAGGTCAGGGCCAATTGGAGTGAAATGTGGATTTTCAAAACAATGCTAGTTATGTTCTACTGTACTAATCTTTAATTGTACCGTTTCTTTGACAATTGACACCTTTCATCATTATCTTCCATCTTCTTTACTTTCCAACGTGTGGCTAGGGAATGGAAGACATGGTGGTGCCTCCATCAGCATGCCAATATTTGCGCCGAGTTCTGCCCGATGCAATGGTGCATTCAATCCTCTACGAAGGCCACTTCACTTATTTCTACTTCTGCGATGAGTGCCACAAACAGGTATTTAGTACCGTTTTCGGAGACCCTCAAGGCCCTATAATCCCAGAAGTTGTCCAAGTCCAAACCCCCATCCAAGATGAAGAAACTCCTCCTGTCAAAGATGATGACGAAGAGACTGGGGAGGTAGCAGTTCTTGGAGACATAACCACAGATGAATACGTTGTCGATTCTGATCCAGTATGACATTTCAGGTACAATTACTTTACAGGTTTTGCTTATACCGAACCGACAGATTTAGGTAGTAAGAGCAGGATACGTGTAGTCGTGTAGAATGCAAGAATACAAAACAATTACTACATGTATGTATATTATCCTATACTTGCTCTAATTACAGGAGGTCATTCCCATATGTGGGAGGGCCAATGGTCTTGTTTCAATCATGGTTTCTGAGGGTAGTGATGTTGTGATTGTTATGCCCCTCAATTGGTAATGTCACCCCTTAATACATTGACCAGTGTCTCTTTTAATTGAATGATAATTCTAAGTTCATTGATCTTTTTTCCTATCCACATTAGTAATAGTAGGATTGATCAACTATCGCGAGTTGTTTCATTAATGATGTAACCCGTAGGAATCATTTGGTTTTGCACGTTTTAATTCTAATGTACATGGTGAGGTACAATGCTTAGAATTTGCAAGTTAGATTGTATATTTGTGTTTTAATGTACCATCTTTATTTATTTAAAGATAGCACTCACTAAACATGTATGAACTTTTTCCCCTAAGCTCCTCTTTTCCCACTCAACAAGAAAGTCGTGCCAGAAAAGTTACAGTGCTAAAAGTTCACTCCATGCCCCAAATATTATTGATTTTAGAAACTTTTAGTACTTATTGGAAACTTGGATTTGGATTTCTGATCCAAAATCCTGTTTGGGAATCCCAAAAAAAATTAGATTTAAATTTGGATCAAATTCCTCTAATACCCAAAATCCATACACTTCCTCTTGTAATTTGAAATTCAAGCATTTAGATTTTACATTCGAAATCTAAGATTTCAACTGAAATATAAGATTCCAAACACAATATAAGCGGTTTGGACGTCGGGACATCCCAAAGTACCTAAACAGGGACTTTTCGGGGACGGAAAGCGCGACCCTTATTCGAAGCCACACACTAATGAGGAATGTGGTAGACTTCCCATGTTCCATTGCATCCAACTTCTTCATTGTCCACACCTTCCTTCTCAGAATCCCACCACCCTCCTCCACTTGCATAGTGATTGAAGTAAGTTGCTGATTTCTTGGCTTTCGAATCTCCAATTCTTTTCTGCTTACTCTTTGAACCCTCTCCAAGGACTACCAGTTTCTTTCCAGCAGAATTTTGCTTGCAATCATCATCACCTTCAAACACATTTCTTCCTCTTTTGTTTGATGTTTCTGTGCAAGAAGGAATCACACCTTCCCCAGCACCATCACTGGTTTTCCCCCATTGTTTAAGCTTCTCAAACATAGCATCAACTAAACAATGCTCATCCATATCATTCTCTCTTTCATTCCCCTTTTCTTTACCTGAATGAACTTCATCTGGCGACTTGAATTGCTCATCCTTCGTCTTGACTGAATCAGGTAAAGGTGAAACGGAACTCCGGTGCAATTTTTTGTTCAGGTAGTCAGAAAGAGAGATATTTGGGCGCTTTTTCTCGCCGGGATCTTTGATTTCTGCATCTTTCCCTGAACGGATCGAAGAGGTTGAGAGGAAAGCTGAGGGAATGGAGCGCTGCCCCACTGTGCTGAATGGTGGATGTCGCTTCGACTTCATCCTCGTTTGGATTTCGCGGCGGATCTGTGCTTCGGCCGTGGCGGCGGAATTCGGAAGCTCGAACGGCGGCCTTCTATTCCTTGAGCAGCGGTGATGTGGTCGGACTCCGGTGAGTCGGATTGGGCACTACCGGCGTAATTCCCGGCCTCCCGGGGGTCGCGAAGCAACGCAGCGGATTGAGCTGGGTCTCTGCGCCCGCGCCAGAAAAGAGGACGAAGGGGTTTTGTAAAAGAAAAATGCACCAAACCCATTTATCCCCACCTCCTCCATCACCTGCAAAAACTAAAACAAAATTAAATAAACAAAAATAAATTAAAATTGAATGTTGGATAAAGGGGTGGGGGACAAATGGGGTACACCTTTTGGTGTACCCCTAGCATTGCTCTTTGTAAAAATAGAGAGTAATATAACAAAGGTATTAATTTTGAAAAAATAAAATAAATCCCTCTGTCCACCATAGATCTTTCCAGACATTATTCAAAGGGTCAAACTTCACTCACTTTGTTTGCTCATTTTTACAAGTAATTTTGTAAAATAATATAGTCTTGTCACCTCTAGTTTTGTAAAACTTTTCATGTAGTTTATTACTATATAAATTTTATTTTAAAATTTTACTTTTATAATCAATTAAATTGAATTGAAAATAAAGTCAGTCAAGTCTTGTAACGCGTAATGGGAAGATCTTAGGTGGACGGATGGAGTAATTACTTATTTTCACACATTTGTTGAATATAATTATAATATTAATTTACTAATAACATAATGTTTGTTCTAAAAACAAAGTGGTGTTCATTCCCAAATAAAGTAGTGTTCATTACTTCATTCCACGCTTGCTAAGAGCTTGAAATCCGGAACCCTTCTTCATCTTCGTCGCTGAAAAGGTGAAATCTTCTAGCAACCATAGGGTTTCTACATCCGCTACTTCCCCCATTTGTATAGTCCCCACCTAGTCTCCACATCAAACGTGTCCAAAATCGATTAAATCACCCACAATAGTATGTGTTTATAAAGTCATACATTGTCGGGGGTGTCAATTTACTAAAGTTTGGACTATATGTGCTTAACGTGCTTTTGTTAAGATATTGTATTGAGACATCCACATCAAACGTGTGCAAAATTGATCAAATCACCCACAATAGTTTCAAATATGTCTAAAGAGTCATACCTTGTCCGAGGTGTCAATTCACCAAAATTTGGATCATATGTGCTTAACGTATTTTTGTTAACATATTGTATTGAGACCATCCTATGCCTTGAGACATCCACATCAAACGTGTCCAAAATCGACCAAATCACCCACAATACTTTCAAATATGTCTAAAGAGGCATACCTTGTATGGGGTGTCAATTTACCAAAGTTTGGATCATATGTGCTTAACGTACTTTTGTTATTTTCGCCACCTAGAGTTTCACCTTTGTCGATCTGGTATACCATCAATCTCGCCACCATCACCATCATTTTCGTTGCTCTTGGCGGCCTTCGTCGATCTGGTGCGCTGCCCTTCGTGATCTATGCTGCCCCTTCGTCGATCTGGTGCGCTGCCCCTTGCGATCTGCGCTGCTCCTTTCTCGATCTGGTGCACTGCCCGTGGCAATAGCAAAATTGCCATTTCGTTTTACTGACTACACCCAACTTTGTGTAAAACCGGTTGTATAATATAATTTGCGGAGTAAATAAATTGTAAAAGACATAAATAGGAGTCTTACGTCTTTAAGGCATAAATGAGAGTTATTTTTTTTAAAAAAATGTGAATTTACCCTAACACACTGTCTCAATCCTTTGGCACCACACTGTCCCCCCTTCGCTGCCACACTTCCCACCACCGCTGCCACACTACCACCACGAGCGCTGCCACCCTTTGCCACCACATCGCCAAGTTTACTGCCACACTGTTAACTCTGTTGTCACACTACCACTATTTCACCGCCGCTACTTTGCCACATTCTCAACCACACTATCACCTCCATCACCACACTTCCACTGTCACAGCAAAACCGAGTTCTAGAGATCTTGGTTTGTTATGCATTAAGACCTTGTTAGAACATCATCACCATTGATGAGCCTCAATCACCTTGAATTTTCAAAATATGAACGAATTAGTGCATGATTATTTTAGAAATTAATTCTCCGCTAAGTCGCACAACCCTTAAAAAATTGCACAATTTGAGCCATTGATCCATACAAAATTAAGGAGGAGAACAGAATTGTAATAGAGAAAATGAAAATGGACGGTGTACTGGAAATAGGTGGACATTGATGGCGTGACTCGCTTCAATTATTCACCAAGTACGGACATCTAGGACAATATCTCATAGAGAATTGTCAACATATAGATAATCACTCGTCGTCGACTAATCAATCTCGAAATCTCCTTCTCGCTTCCTTTTCAAAATCATTCTGACACTAGAGACCAAGAAAGAAACGTTCGTTGGAAATGAAAGGGGTAGGTTTGTGTCGACGGTAGTGGAGCGGAGTTCGTCGGTGAGCTCATTCTTCTCCTTTAGTTTCAAATCTAGGAAAGAAATTCAGTGATGTTTTTATGTAGTTGATGGCTTTCTGTTATATACCTGAGAGGGCCAATCTTGTCATAAAAGTGTAAAAATAAATCGGACTCCTATTTGGGTCTTTTTTGATAAGCTAACTCTTATTTATGATCATTAAAACTAAGTTCAAATATGTTAAAGTCATACACAAAATGATTATGACTTAAACTTGCTGAACAAAACAACTGAAAATGTATGATTATTTGATTAGGTTTACATTTTAGTGGTATAGTAAGTGTAAAGTTTGATATTTTCATTTTTTATTTTTTGGGAATTCATCTAATACGATTTTGAAAGCAATTCGATTCAATTCAAGATATAAATTACTCCCTCCGTCCTAAAATGATCTTCCCAGTCACTACTCACACGGTCAAACTTTAATCACTTTATTTATCTATTTTCTTTAGTTATTTGATAAAATAATATAGTCATGTCACCTCTTGTTTTGTAGAAGTTTTAATGTATTTTTCAAAAGTATAATTTTTATTTTTTAATTGTACACCTATAATCAAATAAATTGAATTGAAAATAATTCCAGTCAAACTTCGTAAACCGAACCGAGAAAATCATTATAGAACGGAGAGAGTATTAAAATTATTTGAAAATTCATTTTTGAATTTGATAGTAAATAATGGGCTTTTGTTTTTTGGCCATCCCTACCCGTTCATTTACGCCTCCTTCTACATGTTTCCAAAACTCATTCCCTTTTATGAATGCTGGCGTCCCAAAGGATCATCATCGGTCTCGCCGGATCACTCTGCTCTCGCTGTTCTCCTCCGCCGTCTGCTCAATCTAGAACCTCCATCTTCGTCCACTCTCGCTTTCTCACTTTCTCCGGCTCACTATTGTGTCCATCGATGTCGCACAAGCAGGTACGTTCATGCGTGTGCATGTGTGTTCTAATCCAGAAGCCGATGATGTGATGTGATATGAATGGTGTACTAGTACTGATTTTGAATGGAATTGAATTGAATTGACACAGGCTGAAGAATTATTATTTTCTATGTTATTAACGGAGGGCTAAGCCTCGTATATATAATACAGGAAGATCCTAACTACGGAAAGATTCCTATACAAGTAAACTACCATGTATACAATGATTACACAATTAATATTAAATATATACATACTATATTTAACATGTGCCCAACTACGTGACCGGAGACGGTCGAACGCCTAGGCTGTGTCTGAAGTTAGAGAATAAGAGAGACGGGAGCCCTTTGGTGAAGATATCAGCATACTGAGAGGAGGAGGGGACATGTAGGACCCAAACGTGACCAAGGGCAACTTTGTCTCTAACAAAGTGAATGTCGACTTCAACATGCTTGGTGCGCTGGTGCTGAACGGGATTAGACGAGAGATATACAGCACTGACATTATCACAGAATACCAGAGTAGCGCGTTGAAGAGGTTGATGAAGCTCAAGGAGAAGATTTCTGATCCAGCTAGTCTCTGCCACCGCATTCGCTACAGCGCGATACTCTGCCTCGGCACTGGAGCGAGAGGTAGTAGCCTGTCTCTTGTCCCCAAGAAAGACACAATACCCTGAAGTAGAGCGACGGGTGTCAGGGCAATCTGCCCAATCAGCATCCGAATAAGCCTGTAAGGAATCTGTGCTGGTGCGGTGAAGAGTGATGCCATGGGTAGCAGTGCCATGGATGTAGCGCAGGACTCTTTTCATTGCTGTGAGATGAGAGCTGCGTGGGGCATGGAGATGAAGACAGAGCTGCTGTACTGCATAGGTGAGATCAGGACATGTGAAAGTCAGATACTGTAGGGCACCAACAATAGATCTGTAAACGGCGGGGTCCGGAAGAAGTGTACCGGACGTGACTGATAGCTTTGCCTTGGTGTCGACCGGGGTGGAGATGGGCTTGCAGTGAAGCATGTCAGCCCGCTCAAGTATCTCGTGTGCAAACTGAGTCTGGTGTAGAAAAAGGCCTCCAGCCGTGCGCTGAACACTGATCCCGAGGAAAAAATTGAGATCCCCCATATCTGTCATGGCAAACTCCCCTTTAAGCTTCTGAGTGAGGCATGTGAGAAGGGCGGTGGAGGAAGCTGTGAGGACAATGTCGTCCACATAAAGCAGAAGATAGGCCATATCGGCTCCTTGAGAGAAGACAAAGAGAGATGTGTCGCTCTTGCATCCGCGGAACCCCAAAGTAAGAAGAAAACCTGCAAATCACTGGTACCAGGAGCGGGGGGCTTGCTTAAGGCCATAGAGGGCCTTCTTCAACCTGCAAACATAATTCGGCCGGGCTGGATCCTGAAAGCCGGATGGCTGGCTAGCATAGACTGTCTCGTGAAGGGTGCCATGTAGAAAGGCATTCTTGACATCCAGCTGATGGATAGGCCACCCTCGGCTCAGTGCAAGTGTGAGAACGATGCGTACCGTGGCAGGTTTGACAACCGGGCTGAAAGTCTCATCATAGTCGATACCAAAGCGCTGATTGAATCCACGAACCACCCAACGAGCTTTGTACCTGGACAGTTCACCTGTAGGGCCAAATTTGTGGCGAAAAAGCCACTTGCCGGTGATAACATTTTGGGTGGGGGAGGGGGGCACTAATTCCCATGTTTCGTTTGTAATCAAAGCATTAAATTCATCACACATAGCATTATACCAGTTTTGATCCTTAAGTGCACTACGATAGGTGAGTGGGAGAGGGGATATGTGGGCCATGGAGTTAAGGTTGAGGATGTGTCGGGGTTTGGATATGCCGACTTTGGATCGGGTTACCATGGGGTGAGTAGTGGGGAGAGTGGGCTGGTTTGGGCTGGGCAGGGGGGGTTCGGCCTGATCGGCGGGTAGTGGGCTGGACATGGGAGGAAATTGGGCCGTGGAGCTAGGGGTAGGGGAGGGTTGGGCCGTACTGGATTTCGGGCTAGAGGGGGTGAT